GTGAAATGAAAAATCCAACAGCTGAACGATCTGCCCATACAATTAGCAAAACTCTTGAGGCTCTTTAACGTTTTCACACATAGAGGGCGCTTATTACAAGAAGCTAGCAATTAAAGAACCTGCTTTGTGTGCGAGGTGGACTGCTCCGTAAGGCGCCATACAGCCCCCAATTCGGCGGACCTAAAGGACCAAGGAAGTTTTATTTTTGGGCGGCAAATAACTCCACTTGACGAGGCGATTGTAATATAGCATGACACTATGGATGTTGTCTGCGTTTCACTCGTTTCCATGCTGTTTCGCTATCCACACATCTCCCTTCTCGCCGCTGTGTCCAGGTTTTTTGCTGAAAGGTAACTAGGGCGCCTCAGTAAACCGCAAGCGGTGGTTCTTGTTCGAGACATCAAAATCGGTTTATTTTGCTGCTTTTGTGAATGGCTGTTCAAAAAACACCTGCAGTATCAATTTGGGAACCCACTGCTCACTTAAAGGAAGTGGGTACGAAAAGGAATTTTCACATCTGCGGAGAACCTGCTCCCCACAGAGCAACTAGCAGGCCGCCAAGGAAGCGATGTGTGGCGCTTGCACTGCGAACAGTGCTGTGGTTGCTGAGCAGGACCATTGCGCCCTTCCGCCCCATGCGCCGCCCCGCCCCATGATTCATCGGTGGCTTGGGCGAGCCGTGTTGCCAGCCGCAGCGCGGTTAGGGCGCCATGCCTGCTGTTTGCTGCCCAGCACGCGTTGCGCAATCTCGTCCACGCGTGCGCGGTCTTCGCCGCAGTCCATCTGAGAGCCGCAATAAACGGCCCAAAAGGGGGTCCCATTTCTCGTTTCCTGGACCGATTTCGCTGCTTCTTTCGCCACTGACGTACCATTGAGGACCCCCTCGTCCCCTCTAAACCCCATTCAAACCTAGCGTAACCGCTGCCTTTAAAATCATGCGATGACCTATGAGTTTTCCAGCTGCACGGAAATCTCACCGGATTATCGCGCGCACAGCTGAATGCTCATTGGTCAAGAAAAATCATTGTTCATTATGAAGTTCGCACTTCATCTTGGTGAGGAGCTAATCGAAGCGTCCTCAGTACGTGCTCTTTAATCGCGTTTTTACACATCTTCTAATCGCTCTTAAAATTTTTGGAGTCTGAGCTGCTTCTTCTGAAAACTTTCGCTCATGAAAGTGGCGGTAGTCTCCTATAGGCTTTTTTTCGTTAATTTCATCCCAGATTTCTATTAATTCCGTTCTTCGTTCTTTGAAAAATTCTATTATATTAGGTTGAGCAAAATTATCCGCCGTTTTTTTTTCAGGCTCATGGTCTTTGATTTTTTGCTGATTATTTTCAAAGATTATGATGTAGTCTGAAAGCGCGCAATCTCTTGTACATTTTGATGTACAACACTTGTGTATTTACTTCACTATGGAGCTTACACACTAGCAAAAAAGATTGCCCCTGCTACATGAGTGCAAGTTGAGCTCGAAACCGAATGCTTCTGCATCTGCTCGTAGAATCAATGAAGCCTGGGATGAAGGCACGGTTGCAGAGAGGACTGTTCGAGAGCGTTTGTTGATTACGCATTTATTGTTGTTTTTGTTTGGTTTTGTTAATAAACTTATGAGTGAAATGAAAACGGCGGATATTATTGCTCAACCTAATATTATAGGCATGGTGCGAGGTTAGGCACCATGCCTATAATATTTCACCTGTTCCATCCCAGATCGTGGTAGACAGGCGGATAAGCATGAATGTCGCGTCCGCTTCGCGGCTTTAAAGTGAGCGACCATGGTGCTAGAAGCTCGCTCGGCCCGCAATCCACTCCTTCGTGCAAACCCCACCTTCCGCTGTCGCTGTCGATTCCACGCAGGCGCTGTGAGGAAGAGTGCGCCGCAAATGCGTCAGCGGTAAAACTGCGGCTCAATGTCACTGACAATGGAACGAAGTAGAGCTAGTCGTTCGTGAAACTCGTCCAGTTACGCCCTTTTTGCATGCCGTGGTGGAATGCGGCTAAAAGAGAGGAGGTCATGTACGGAGCGTAAGCGAGGGGTTTCTTTGCTTTCTTTTTCTTTTCAGAACACTTCTCACCTACAGCTTCACTGTTAAACGCTCCTGTGCGCTCATCTTATCGCAGAGCTTGCCTCTAATCAGAAGAGAAAGTCCTTCGTGGTTTTAGTTCTAGAACCTGTAAACGTTTTTTGAGACTCATGACGTATAAACGAATAGTTCGTATATTGTAGGGAAACTTGAAGCAGAGAGAAAAGAGGAGCAGAGAAAGCCAGAGCAAGATGCTCACGGCTCGTCGATCCCAAGAAAGGAGCGATCCATTGTGTGGGTTGGAAAAGGGGAAATTTGCCTAGAGGGCTATCAACGGGAATCGGTAAAGTGCTTCCATTTCTCGGCAATTCTGAGGTCGTTTCATAGGTCTTTCCTTCTTTTCTTTACCACTCACGATCTTTAACCTAATCTGGAATGGGTTGCTTTTTCATCGTAATGTCTAACATTAATTACGTTACACGGAGACGAACAGTAACTGGTGCCGGAATGAAAATCATTTTTCCTATGACATTCACTGTTAAATTCTATACATTCGAGTGAACATTAAACTCTGGAGCCGCTGATCTCTAGTCGATAATAATTCACTTTCTAGAATTCTTATGGTCCCCCGAAAATGACTGTGAATGTGACACTGCTCGGCGGGCCTCCATGGGGACTGCGCTTGAGCAGCGACCAGGAACTTCGTCCGATTGTCTCGAAGGTGAGTAATCAGTACCGTGTTGGCCGTGAAAAAGGTTAACGAATAATCGCAGATTCTAATGGGAGGCCGTGCTGCTCGGGCAGGTGTCAAGTCCGGAGATGTTCTTCATTCGGTGAACTCCATGCCGGTGTTCACTTGCAAACAAGCTCATGCTATGATTCAGAAAGCTCAAGGTCAGCTGAGACTCGCAGTGGTCAGGTAAGCAAAGATTCACTTAATCAGATTCAAGTTCGAATATGTCGTCTAGTGTTCATCCATGACAAATTCTGCTCAACCCGTCTAGGGCTCAGTCACTCATACTGCGTAGGCAAGGTCAGGTTTCATTGGGACTCTTTAAACGAAATTCTCGACTCCAACACTTGGAAATTTTTAACATATCAGTCAAAACATTCTTATTGAATGGATTCATGGAACAGGCATAAGGATTACTAGCCATTGGCTTGAGCTAGGACTCATCAATGTCAGTCTTGAGCTCGAAACGAACGTTTTTTACCCGCTTCAATGGGAGTTCTAAAGAATGCACACATGCAAAGCGTTGTCTTTTGTGGGTAAGATGGGATAGGCCATGTACCAGTCACAACCATTACGTATTAGGAAGGGGTGGTCGCGTCTTTGAGAGGCTATTAAGAATAATGAAATAACACCATCAACCTATTGTGGACCGCCGTTATATGTGCACCCTATGGATTTTTTCATATGCTTTATCAGTAATCGATAATCTAGCTGTAATTTTATCTGTGCCCAAATGCATGATAAGTTCTAAGCTAGACCGAGCCGAGACCGAGAAAATTTGTTTCTCAGAATAATGGTATAACCAGAAATAAAGATAGTGTACTACACATACATAACGCAGCACGTGGTCTGCAAAAGGTTAAATCTTTTTTTTTTCGACTTTTCTCAAATTCTTATATTCACGTTATATTTATTGAGTGAGTGGGGACGTGTAACTTAGCAATATACTCATTTGCAAGTTACACGAACACACTCGCTACTCTATAGGTTAGTTTCATAAAATATTCGGTTCTTTGCAAAAATGTTGCCATAATTCATAAACACAATCATTGTTTTGTTTATCACCATCATGAGTAAAAAGGATAAAGCATTTGCCGTTAATCAGTCCCTTTTTG